GTTAATTGTTTTTGTTTTTTTATTATTTAAGTATTATTGTTATTATTGTTATTCTTGTCATTATTCTTGTTATTATTATTATTTTTACTATTAAAATAATATCAAATTCGTGTACTATGCGACGTACCTCCGTATGCGTGAGATCTCGAAGGGGTCCCCTACTTTGTCGCCCGTCGCCTGCAGGCTGTCTGCGATGTGTTTGGCGCGCGCGGGCTCGTTGTCCAGTAGCATGGAGTAGTGGTTGCCGCCGGTGGACTCTGCGTGGCCTGTCAGCGTGGCGATGCTGATGATGTGAGGGTTGGGGGCGTACTGGGCCATCTCCTGGAGGGTGGGAGGTCAGGAGAGACGGGGAGAGGGATGGGATTAGTTTTAGTAAGAATTTTACGGCTCAATAAGGTCATATAAGTGCCGAGGATTAGAGGTGTTACAAGAGAGTAACAAACACAAAAAAAAGGAGAGATCAGGACGATAGATGTTTGGTAGGAAAGAAGGAGTAAACCACCCCAGAGCACCCGCCAACCACCAACGAGGGATGAGATGGAGGATCTGTTGAAATGAGAGGTGAGGGAAGGGTGGTGTGGGATGGTACAAGAAGAGATAGGGTGAGGAATGGTATGAGAGGGAGAGAGGGGGAGTGGGGAGGGGAAATGATTAGAGAAATGGGACTAGGGATGGGCTCAGAGATGGGATGCAGAATGGGATGAAGGATCGGATGAGGGATGGGTTGGTCCAAGAGAAATGTGATGAATGAGATGGAGGATATGATGGGAGATGATGAGATGAGAGTGGATTCTGTGTGGCCCGTGAAGATGGCGATGCTGATGATGTGGGGATTTGGGGCGTACTGGGCCATCTCCTGGAGGGTGAGATAGGGTGAGTGATGGGATGGGGGATGAGAGATGGGATCGGGGATGAGAAATAGGTTGGGGGATGGAACGGGGGATGAGAGATGAGATGAGGGATGGGATTGGGGATGAGAAGTGGGATGGGGGATATGAGAAATGAGGGAAGGATGGGGTGGGGTGGTGTAAGAAGAAGAGGAGAGATAGGATTAGGGATGGGTTGAGAGATGAGATGCTGAATGGAATGAGGGATTGGATGAGAGATGATATAAGGGATGGGACGAGGGGGTGGGTAAGGGATAGGTTAGTATACAAAGAGATGAGATGGATGATGGGATGGGTGATTATATGGTGAGGAATGGAGATGGGATGAGGCCTGCCAGCCTCTGGGTGGTGGTGCTGGTGATGTGGGGGTTAAGGATGTGTGGGGACGTCCCATGGAGAGTGTGAGACTGAGACCAGTGGAGATGGGATGGGCGATGGGTGAGATCGATGACACTAGGTGAGAACAGTTGTGGTGAGATGAGAGGAGAAGGGGTGAGTTGTGGAGAGGTGACAGGAGTGGAGAGATGGAATGGGGGATGGAAGGAGGTAGGAATTAGGGAAGAGTAGATGGTCCAAGGTACATTATTAATGAATAGTTATGAGGTGAGTATAAAGGAGATGAGATTGGAAGGAAAAGACGAGTTTAGATGAGTAAAAAATAGATGAGATGTAGACAGATTTGGATGGCATAAGATGGAACAACGTGTATGCTTTCTTGTCCGTCCGTCCGTCCGTCCGTCCGTCCGTCCGTCCGTCTGTCTGTCTGTCTGTCTGTCTGTCTGTCTGTCTGTCTGTCTGTCTGTCTGTCTGTCTGTCTGTCT